GCACACACACTTAGGTCTGTGCAGAGATTACTCATGCTCACACTCCTTTCTCCTTTTCAGTCTCCAGTGTTGACTTGCCGCAAACTCATATTTTAATTATAGCATATATTATTGGAGTATTATTTTGTCATTATAATACTTTACAATAGTAAATATTTCCCACGGCACAGTGTATTGTGTGTTCACCACCTCAGGTCAAGTCTCCATCACCATTTATCCCCCCATCCCCTCCTCTACCTCCCCTCACTTCCACCCCCCTCACATTGAAACATGTATTCCATTGCTGATTGTGCTAATCCCCATGGCAAACTTTACAATAACATGTCTTTTGCTAGTTATTAATTTTCTTACACTGGCTGAATTACAAACAAGATCCCAACACCAAAACTTATAACTGATCACAGACAGTTGCTTATTTTCATGGTCAAAGAGGTCCTTCTGTCTACAAGTTCTTTCATAAACATCTCTTTAAAAATAGAAATGCTTATGAAAATGAATATGTAATTTGGAAGTATGACCTAAATCTTTAAATAGCAATGAATAATTTTGAAGATAATATATTTGTTTAGCATGTTACAGCTTCTAAAGTACCTTCACCACAATTTTCCCAAGAAATGCTCACAATAAGCCAGTAACATGCTGTTATTTTTATTTTAAAATGAGGCATTTGAGATATAGGGGGTTAAGTTAGTTGGTCATGGTTTCATAGCTCTGCATGTGGTATATCTTGGAATCAAGGTATTTAGGAATCTAAGGCCCAGAATTTTTCTGATTCATTTCCCTCCGAAAAGGTATGATGTTAAGAACTTGAAGAGAATACAAATGAGAATGGTAGCAATTTAAAAGAGAGTTGTGCTGCTTGGTGGTGTGTGGCTCAGTGGTTGAGCATTGACCTATGAACTAGGAGGTCATGGGTTCAATTCCCAGTCGGGGCACATGCCCAGGTTGCAAGCTTGATTCCCCAGTGCAGGGGGCAGCTGATGGATGACTCTTTCTCATCATTGCTGTTTCTATCTCTCTCTCCCTCTCCCTTCCTCTCTCTGAAATCAATAAAAACATTGAAAAAGAGAGAGAGAATTGTGCATAGCCCTGTGGGTTCCTTTTTTGTGTTTGAAGATAAGGTGGAAGGAGGTTTTAGACCTTTAAAAGGAATATTGCAGGATTAATAGCAAATAGCAAATGTCTTTGTCATTGAACAAGAAAGAATGGCTTTGAACTATTGCGAGATGGTTTCTGCATAAACAGTGAAAGCGTTCTTGAATATAATGGTTAAAGGACACTGGAATTCATTATCTAGGATGAATACTGTGTTATCTTTTAGGGTTTGTCAGAAATGCACAAATATCCATATAGCGATGCAGATAAAGTAGTTTCCCACATGCAAGGCATGACATGAGTACACACTACTGTGCACAGCGAAGGCAGTACACAGAAATTGTGTTAGAGCTACGCAGTGTTTTCTTAATTCCGACTATCCTCAGTCACTATTGACCCATCAATATCATTTAGAAGAAAAAGCGGATCTTCTGCTTTTATTATATTGGGGTTCACATCTTAAAGACTTTATGATTTCATTGCTACAATTTTTTTTTAATGTACAGCTATCCTTTTTATTCCTAGATGCAGGTTTGATTCCCAGTCAGGGCACATACCCAGGTTGCACGTTCGATCCCCAGTCGGGGCGCATGCAGAAGGCCGCTGATCGATGTTTCTCTCTCACACATTGATGTTTCTTTCTCTCCCTTCCTTTCTCTGAAATCAATTTTTAAAAAGGACAACTAAAGATCTAAGGTAATCATTCCTCTCCTCTAAGTTTGATCCATTTATTCAGCTCAAATCTTTCTGTCTCTCACTGCCAACGGAAACCTGGGAAGAAAGAAAAGCAAAAAGGGACATCCTTAGTGTAAGCTTTTACAGGAAGTGAGGGAGCAAACTCAAGTACAAACCCAAATTTGACCTCAAACAAATTCCTGAAGCACAGCAGGAATGAGGGTAAGAGAAGAACTGATGAGCAGTTCCACCACTGATGTTCTCAGGCCAAATAAACATCTCCATCGGAGTGTGCATTATAAACTACCTTTCAGGACTCTTAGACAAGTTGTCATTTGCTAGAAAGATTCAGATAATGGTATTGATAACCTTTATAAGGCAAACAGCAGTATTCATTCAAAAGGCATTTACAGCTGGCAAAACACCATCTCCTTTTAAGTGCATACATTTTTAGTTATTATTTAGCAAACATTCCCTCCAAACATGTAGTACTGTAAATATAATATCCAGAGGTCGATTTTTGTGAACATGGATCTTGCGGTGTAATTTCCTTTATGACCTTCCCCATGATATCACCTTAACTTCAAACATTAAAATTCAACTACATGGATTTGCCTTATGTAGGTAGACATGGCTGTGCATGCATTTAATTAGTGCTCTAGTACTTCTAACCTACTGGTTGCCTTATACATAGGGTTGCAAATGTCAATATATTCAAATGTAACCTCTTAGGGGACAGCAGGACTGGACCGTGGGCCTCTGGGCATCCATAATACCACAAGCTATCATGTTCTTAACAAAAGACCTCAGATGATGATAATGATGTTAGTAAAATTATTATTTTTTTTTGGTTTCCTTTATTTCACAGGATTATACACTCACCATGTATTTCCAGCAGTCTTGGAAAGACAAAAGACTTTCTTATTCTGGAATCCCGCTAAACCTCACTCTAGACAACAGGGTAGCTGACCAACTCTGGGTACCAGACACGTACTTTCTGAATGACAAGAAATCATTCGTGCATGGAGTTACAGTGAAAAACCGCATGATCCGGCTGCATCCTGACGGAACAGTTCTCTATGGGCTCCGGTGAGTGGCTCTGTGTTGCATGTTTTACTGCTGCTTTGGTTGTTGTTATGTTTTATTTTTCCCTTGTGGAAATGGGCAGAGGGGAGAGAAGAAATAAGAGAATATATAGAAGCTTTCATCTGCACAATGCAATCACATTAAAGACCAGAAAATCTCTTTTGGAACCATTTGAGCTAACTCTAGGCAAATTTGTCCATCAAAGGTAAGTGGATTATTTGCTTTAAACTTTAAATAACAAACAGTAATAAGAAAATGTCTTTGCCAGACAGATTTCACATCTAGGTCATTGCAGAAGTTGTATGTTTTTTAACTAATTGCTTGATTACCTCACAACCCCAGACTGAACTGAAATGTGTTCTAGGTATTTAGTATAACTCCGTAATTTTTAAAGGGAATTGGGAAACAATATTTTAAAGAAGTAAGACAATATTTGTAGAGACTTTGAGAAGAACCAAAGTGTTTTTATTTCCTTAAATGTTTTAGCTTTTATATTTAGGTATAAGATTCAGATTGAATTAATTTTTTGTTACATGTGAGGTAGGGGTTGAGGTTCACTTTTTCCATATGGCTCTCCAGTTATTCCAGCACCACTTACTGGAAATATTTTCCTTTCCCACTGGATTGGTTTGGTGTCTTTGACTGAAGGAGTCTCTCTCTAGGCTCTGTTCTCTTCCATTGTTCTACTTGTCTGTCCTTAGGCGGTATCACAATGTTTTAGTCATCATAACTCTATGTTAAGTCATGAAGTCAAGTCCTATAACTTTGTACATACTGTTTAAGATTGCTTTGGATAATCTAGGTCCTTTGCGTCTCCCTACCAAAAAAGACTGCTGAGATTATAATGGAGATCACATTGACAATATTGGTCAGTTTGGGGACAATTGACATCTTAAAATTATAAAGTCTTCTAATCCATGAACATGATATATCTATATTTAGTTAGGTTATCTTTATATCAGCAATATTCGCACCATAGTGGGTTTTGTTTTACTTCATATTTTTAAGAATAAAGTATTAAAGGGGTATATTACACTTAGAGAGGTCTATTATTAACCCTCCTGTAGTTAGGGTTCTTTTTTCTAGGCTACAATTTTAGGCTAAAATTCAAATTAGCTCCCAGTTTTATGAAATATCTGAATTGTGGCGTGTTATTGTAGGCTATGTAGAAGGTGCTTCTTTAATTCTTTTTGTCACCTTTTGTGATCCCTTTGAAAAGCTGATAAAAGCTATATATCCACAAACTCATATGGCCCCCAATTTTCCTACTATTTGAGCGTGTTCACCAGCCTCCTAAAATTCTTCCTTCCACCACTGACTCTAAGCTAAAACTCTAGTTAAGGCCCAAAGTTCTACTGTTAATGTCTATACATCCACCAATGGCCCTGAACAATATGCAAGTAGAAAAAATACATCTGTGATAAAACTTCTGAACTTAACCTAGTGGTTGGTTATCTTGAATCTTACTGCTGCACACCCCTTTCAGGCTTTGCTCCATTCTGTTATTAAACTATCTGGTCCTCCCCCGCTGTTGGCTCTTTGCTCAGTTTTCTCTCAGTGCTGCAGTGCTTTGGTTTCCCCATCACCCATTCACCCCTCAGTCTCCGAAACCATGGGGCTCTTGTCCACGCTGCCCTCCCAAAACAGCGCTTTCAAAAGTGACCGACGCCATCTCTGATTTCCAATCTGTCCTCTTGACTTCTCTGAGTAATGAAAGAGTGACGCCTGACCTTGACTTCAGGATTTCCAAGACCCAACACGATTGTTTCATTATCTTTGTTTTTCTGTCCTTTTGCTAGTCGATCACCAGTTCCTCTTTTGCCCCTAATAGTGACCAAATCATTGAGTTTAACAGCTTAAATATCTAAAATCCCCAGATTACTGAGTACAGAAACACATGAGTCGTTGCTTACTGAGCATCTGTATCTGGATGCTCAGCCAGTTCCTCCTCACTTGAGCCCTATTTCATATTATCTGTTTTTCCTAAAACCAGGCCTTACTCCTTTCCCAGCTGCTAACAAAATCATCATCCTCCCAGTCCACAGGCATAAGTATAGCATCTTTGACTTTACTCTTTTGTCCCTGAGATCCAATTTGTTGCTTTTACTCTACCTCAACAATTTCTACTTCCAAATCATTTCCAACATCTAAATAACCCAACATTCTCACTCTGTCACCTCCTGGCCAATTTCTTGCCTCAGTTTTTCCCTTTTTCATCACTGCTATCTTATTTTTTCTACAGTGAATGTCAGATCCTATCACTCCTGCACTAAAAAGAAAATTCTCCGCAGTCCCCATAAAAAGTATGTTTTCAGTCTTCTGTGTGGAATCCAAGACCCTCTATGTATAACTAAAATGTCTTTCCCACATTATGGCCCATTTTCTTCCTCTGTGAAGCCTAAGCTTTTGAAAACAACTTCTGAGAACATCCAGGACATTTCAGATTCAAGTATGTCCCAAATATTGCATGGATCATATCTATACTTTAAAAAACCCTATTTGCTCTTTGTTTGAAATTCAGATTTAACTGAGCATGCTGTATTTTATCTGGCAACATATGGCCCTCCTGAAATGCACTCCCTTCTCTGTCCCCAAAGACTTTTTCCCTACTTCACTACTTTCTCCTGTTATACTGTTTGCTTGTTTTTTAATGCCTTTCTCAGATTCCATTTTCTCCATGAGGATTTTGGCAGTCCTCCTAACCAGATAACAACTCTCTCTCATTTGGTACCTTACTTCACTTTAACCTCATAAAGGCCCGTGAGATTTGTTTGTGACTCTCTTATCATATTCTGTTTTTCTATATCTTAGAGTTACTTTTCTGTGATGCAAACAAGATTGTATTTGTTGAAAATGTGAACTCTATTTCCTTAACCTTTGTATCCCCTCTCTCAAACCAAATAAATGTTTGAAAGACTGAAATGAAAATTTGTAGAATGTGGTCACCTGACGCAAGATAGTTGTCAGCTGCAACATTTCCTATATCTAAATGATGGCTTTTAACCAAAGAGCAATTGTCGCTATTAATGACCAGATGTGTTCTGCCTCTTCTCCAAACATGATCCAGCTGGCTGCAAACACTGATTCTCTCCAAGGCCTAGCCCTGTGGGTGCTGAAAGACTATGTTTATCTTTCCCTGAAAATAGAAGGCACTGAATGACTTAATTCTGGAAAGACATTTAGTGGTATATTTAACCTCCTTAAATTACCCCTTTGTGTTTCTCTCCTAACCTTGGCCTTGGCTTTTCTTTCAAATGTTCCATAATGCTTCTTTCCTACGTCTCCTACCAAAGGTGAGCCCAGGGCCAGGTGGTTTTGAGGGTCTGTGTGAGAATGAGTAAAAAGCCTTCCAGACAAATACTGCCTCACACTGGTACTCAGTAAGTGTGTTCTAGAGTATGTATGTGGACTTGTGTGCACATACTGTAAGCAGACATAGAGTAAGATGNCGTCTCCTACCAAAGGTGAGCCCAGGGCCAGGTGGTTTTGAGGGTCTGTGTGAGAATGAGGAGTGAAATTTGTAGTAAAAAGCCTTCCAGACAAATACTGCCTCACACTGGTACTCAGTAAGTGTGTTCTAGAGTATGTATGTGGACTTGTGTGCACATACTGTAAGCAGACATAGAGTAAGATGTATGAATCACATCATTTAAACTAATGCTGATTGCAATTGTATCATGAAATTTAACAAATACCCTGGTAAATAAATAATTAAAACTACATAATGCTTCAGGCACTATGCTAAGTGCTCTGCCTATATTGTCATGTTTAGTTACCACAACACTGAACTATGTACTATTATTATAATGCTTTTACAGATGCCAATACTAGGAGATCTAAAGTAACTTTACCTTTCTTATAACTTATTATTTACTTTTTAAAAGCAGATTCAAAATAGTATACCACACTATAATTGTCTGATGAATTTCCTATAATCTCTTTTGCTCTAAATGTTTACTATTTTTTTATTCCCCCTGGTAATTTCTTTAAAATCATGTTATTTTTATGATTACATCTCCTTGTTGTATATGCATTACTCTATTTCCCATAGTTGAGGCTTGATCAAATTTATATTAGTTATGTTGTGTTTTGGCAAGACTGCTTCATAAGCCACATTGTGTACTTCTATCAGTAGATACAAATCCCTGACTATGTCTCTTTTAGTGATCTGTAAACTGATGAACAGATTTAGGCATTAACCTGATATATCTACTATAATAACCCCATTAATTTATATGTAACTGTATTAGTTTGCTAGGGCTGCTGTAACAAAGTATCACAAAATAGGTGGTGGGAACAACAAAAGTTCATTGTCTCACAGTTCTGGAGGCAGCCAAGTTGGTGTTTTTTTGGAAGGCTGTGAGGGAAGGATCTGTTCCAGTCCTCCCTCCTTGGCATGCAGATGACCTCTCCCTGTGTCTCTTCATGCGTATCTCCCTGTGTCTCCTTTCTTCTATGTGCATACTTTTGTCCCCTTTTTATAAGGACACCAGTCATACTGGGTTAGGGCCTACACTAATATCTCACCTCAACTTGATTACCACTGTAAAGACCATATCTCTAAATAAGGTTACATTCTAAGGTACTGGAGGCTAGGTCTTCAATATATAAATTTAGAGGGACACAGTTCAGCCCAACAGTAACAATTTTAGCAGCCTCTGATAACCTTTGCCTAAATCTATTTAGAATAGTTTGCAAAATGGTGGTATTTGGTCATCCTTTCTTTCTTTATTAACTCAATTGCTGTCTAAAGACCTCTTCCTCACCAACCACTGGGTCATCCTGAAGTGAAGGGGGTACAGTGAAGGTAGGATCAGTGCTGGGCTCTTTTCCCTTATTTAGCAGTTTTCAAAATGACAGGCTGTTTCCCGAGAAGTCCCCAAATGGGAGCACTGAGGTTGGCGTTTTGTTTGTTTGTTTGCCATCATGAAGTCACATGTTATAACAGGTATGTCTGTTTCCATCCACTGTAGCTATTTGTTAATTTTGATGCTCATTTTGTC